TTCTTTCTCAAGATCATTGTTTGTTGATAACGCGGTATTGATTTTCAACTTTAAGGAATCGATTTCTGATTCTAAAGAACTATTTTTTGTCTTTAATGATTGACATTCTTTCTCAAGATTATTGTTTGTTGATAACACGGTATTGATTTTCAACTTTAAGGAAACGATTTCTGATCTTAAAGTACCATTTTCTGCCTTTGATAATTGACATTCTTTCTCAAGATCATTGTTTGTTGATAACGCGGTATTGATTTTCAACTTTAAGGAATCGATTTCTGATTCTAAAGTACCATTTTCTTTCTTTAATAATTGACTTTTATTCTCAAGATCACTGTTTTTATTCTTTAAGGAATCGATTTCTGATCTTAAATTATTATTATTTGTCTCAAGATCACTGTTTTTATTCTTTAAGGAATCGATTTCTGATCTTAAATTATTATTATTTGTCTCAAGACCACTGTTTTCATTCTTTAAGGAATCGATTTCTGATCTTAAATTATTATTTTTTGTCTCAAGATCACTGTATTTTTTTCTTAATTCCGATTCCGATCCAATTTGTTGATTTTGATCGAATTTTTCTTTTTCTTTTTCTTTATTATTGTAGAATGAACTATGTGATTATGCGTTTTTTCTAATATAGGAAATTCATAAGTTCATAAAAGAAATAATAATTTTACCATTTTTACCATTTTTCCCATTTTTCCTGAATATTACGATCAAAAATTTCTTGAATTTCTTAAGTATCTCAGGTTTCTCAGATTTATTAGTCATTATGAGTAAAAATCAAAAGCGCAAGTTTGATAAATTCTCAATTATATGTGGGGGTATTTTTTTGTGTGAGAAAATTTTAAGAGAAGAATTGTAATAAATTTGGAAACAATGACAATGGCGATAAGTTGGTGATAAATTTGGCAATAATAAGACAAAAAAATATAGAAATACGAAGCAAATCGCTATATCACGCGAATAAGTCACGACGTAAACAATTGACTAACTTGGAAAACCCTTTCACGAACGTAAACAATTGACTAACTCGGAAATTCCTCTTTCTTACAATAAAATAAGATAAATATTAAAATTCATAAATGCGCGAGAATTAATGATTTTTTGAATCTTCTTTTCTTTAAAAAATGCATCTTGAGAATGATATTCGCGTAGTTGTGGGTTTGGGTAAATTTTATTATTTGTAAAAATTGTCATTATCATTATTTTTTTATAAATAAAATGAATCAATATATCCATGCATATAAATAATAAATTTAAAAAAAAAAAAAGATTTTGGGACAACGTTTTCTGTAAGTATAAAAAAGTCTTGTCGAATTGATTTAAAATAATCTAAATAATTTGTGATTCAAGGGATTCGCATTTGCTCATGTGAGCGACAATGAAAGTTTTATCAAGACCGAAAGCAATGAACCTAATATGTTAACGCGAAGGTTATTTTTATTTATTTCCTTAAATTATATTTGTATTCTTTCAAATCATATTTTACGTGAATAAAATAATCATAAATAATTATTTAGTTGGGAAAGATTATTTAAAACTCCAACAATTCTCTTATATGATAATGAGTATTCGGATGTTGTTGATTGGGGATCATTCGCCAAAAACCAAACCCAACAAGGCAAGTTAAATATTGTCGACCGCTTTAAACTTCATTTGGGGAAATTACCAGATGATCGTAAACCCACGTTACCAGAAAAACTTCATAAAAAAAAAGATCAAAGACACAAGAGAGCCATTACTGATTATTTAAGAAAAATGGGTATTTTTTTAAAAAAAAATTTTATTTCATCTCTAATACCATACAATATTATTAAATATATATAATAATAATAATGATAATAGTAATAAATAATAAATATTTTTTTTTTCTGTAGGAGAGGTAAATATTAAATGGGAACGTAACGATAATGAATTACAGGGTTTTTCTAATGCACGTGACTCTAATTTTTCTCAATAGGTTATTAAACAAACAATCTTAAAACCTTGGCCAAACCTTGATCTTTTTAACCAAATTTTGCTAATCATAACTGTTCCTGCTGAATTTTCTCACAAAGACAAGCGAACAATGAGAGAATGTGCATATTTAGCTGGATTAATTGGTACACTCGATTCTGAAACATTGCAATTTACATCTGAACGTAAGATTATTATTATTTATTATTTATTTATTTATTTATTTATTTTTAGTTATGGATTCATAATAATATTTTGCAATATCTAAAATAGCTGAAGCTGCTGCTATATATTGTTTCACAAAGAAAAGTTTAAGAGAATTTTATTCTGGAGATAAAAAAGGTTTTATGATTGTCGATTGTGGAGGTGGTACAGTAGACTTAACCACCCGAGAATTTATAAACGAAAACGAATTAGATGAAATCACTGTAAGATCAGGTGACTTTTGCGGAAGTTCTTTTATTGATCAAGATTTCTTAAAATATATGGAAGGAATCTGGGGCAAATCTGTCATGAATAACTTAGGAGATTGTTATAAACAACGCATGATTCAAAAATTTTGTGAAGTTATTAAATTTCCATTCACAGATAAATTTCCAGATTCTACATTTGAGCTAGATCTTTCAGAATTTAAAAAAATTCTCTCTAAAATTCCTGGAATTGATTTAAATCCAATAAATGAATCCGAATGGTCTGTCATTCTCGAATACGATACGGTAAAGAAAATGTTTGACGAACAAGTTGATAAAATTATTCAAATGATTCATAAACAACTTAGGGATTCTGGAGAGAAATGTTCAACAATATTTTTAGTTGGAGGATTTAGTGAATCAGAATATTTACAAAATAGAGTTAAAAAAGAATTTGAAACTATGGTCACCCATTTTTCTATACCTATGGACCCAATTGCAGCCGTGGTTCGTGGCGCAGTAATCTACGGTCTTCGTATGAATTTAATTAAAAGTTCCACGATAGATCCATCCAAAATTAAACCAATCATTCAAAATCGACGTCTCAAGTATACTTATGGAGTGAAAACATCTTCGTTTGTTGAAGGAAAAGAAGATGATGAAAAGAGTACAATTAAATTAACACAGAAATTTTCATGTATAGGTGATGCAAGAGTTGGTACAAGTGTAAAAGTTGATCAAGAATTTGAAGAAATTTATTCACCTTTCTTCCCATGGCAAGACGCAATTAAAATTCAAATCTATACAACTCAAAAACTTGATGTTAAAACTTGTGATGAACCTGGGGTAGAATTACTGGGTGAACTTGAAGTTGAACTTCCTGATCTTATTTCACCCCTTTTACTTTTAACTAAGAGACCAGTTCTTTTTTCACTTACTTTTGCAAAGGAGGAAATTAAAGCAAAAGCAAAGAACTTATTAGATAGTAAAACTGTTCATACTACTTTTAGACTTGACATAGAAGAAGACAAAAAAGATGAAGATGAAAATTATGGAAGTAATGAAGCTGAATCTTCAGGAACTTCGGGAACTTCTTAGATATTTTTTATTTATCCATATATATATATATATATATATATATATATATTATTAAATTATTATTATATAAAAATTTATTAAATATTATTTATTATTGTATATTAAATGGTATTATATATTATTGTATATTAAATATTATTAAATATTATTATATATTGTTATCTATCGAATTCTTTATTATTAAATAAATAATCTTATTTTTGGTTGTGTATCATCATCAATAATCTGTCTCATAAACTTTTAAACTTTTTTAATCGCGAATGTTTACGTTTCATTATTTACAATCATTATTATTTTTATTATTTTACACTATCGAAAAAAAAAACAGGAGGCCAGAGAGCATTCTTGGCGGGATCTAATGAGTCACCATCGACTTTTTAATCATTCTTCTATGGAAATAGATTAAAATAGATTACTCGAGAAGAGATTTTTTTATTTTTACTATTTAAAAGTTTTCATATGTGATACATTAAATACGGAATTTTTTAGCACTTTTCCGAGAGCCCATAAAAATTTCCCAGATTTGTGTATCCGTGATATAAATTTTTTTTGGGGGTTTTTAATAAATACTCATTTATATTATTTATTCTATTGACTTATTGACTGTTAAAAAATTATAAATCTATCATGGCGAATTGGAATGACATTCGTGTTGTTATATCAATAGGTAAGGAAAATAAGGAAAATATAAATATAAATTTCATATTTTGGGAATCATTATTGTCGTTTGCGTTTTACTAAATTTATTTTATCTGTTATAAAACCATTAGATTTTGGAACTACATACTCTGTAAAAATTTAATCTTTTTATATCTAATGAAAAAATGACTACAATATTAAATTATTAACTATTCTACATTTTAAATATAGGGTTATGCATATAGTAATAAACAAAACCCAGAACACATAACTAACGATGTCTGGGTAAGTAATTGTTAAACAGAACTCGTGAAACAACCAATTTGTTATTTTTATTTTTTTACTTAAGAATTAATTTTTAAAATAGCCTGAACGGATAGGCCAACTGAAAACGAATTCTGTGCTTCAATATTCTGATTCGAAATTCTCACAAGTATCAGAATGGGGGTTTCCAGCTCTCGCGCAGAAACCTTCGCGTAGAAATCAGAAGAAAAACGGCTCAAAGCCAGTTGAACTGTTTAAATTGCATTTGGGTAGTATGCCCGATAGTGAGAAACCCACTCTACCTAAAGGTCTAGATTACAAGAAGGCCATTACTGATTATTTAAAAGAAATGGGTATGCATAAGATTTCCCGAAAATGATTTTTTTTTTTAATATTGAAAGAAATTAATTTTTATTAATATTTATTTATTTATTATTATAATTAAATTAATTAGGCAAGGTATATTTCAATTTTAATATATATATACATATATTAAAAATTTTTAATCAAATAAAAATGAAATAAAAAAAATTGGATTGATTGATTTTCAAACTAAATAAAAATTTATATAGTCAATTAAAGAAACAGTAGAAATGCGATGGCCAAATATTGATTTCATGAGTAATGTTTTAATAGTTATGACTGTTCCAGCAGAATATTCAGAACAGGCTTGTGCTATAATGAGAGAATGTGCCTACAAAGCGGGTTTAATTCGTACAAAGGATTCCAAAAAACTTGAATTTTCTACCGAACGTAAGTAATAATTGTTAATTCCGTTGTAATTTTATAATTTTTACTGACATATTTAAATATTTAATATATTTTTTCAGCTGAGGCTGCTGCCATTTATTGTATGAGTGTGTTGAAAGAACATTTTCTTACGGATGTTGGGAGTAAGCACGACTTTATTGTATTTATATTCCATTTATGAATTTTATTTCATTGAAAAAAAAATTTGACATCTTAACCGAAAATTTTTAGCGAATTTCCTTATTGTGGATTGTGGTGGCGGTACTGTTGACTTGACAACTCGAGAATTGTTGGCTGATCAGAGATTGGGAGAAGTTACAGAACGTACCGGAGATTTTTGTGGTGGAACGTACGTTGATAAAGAATTTATTAAATTTTTAAAACGTAAAGTTGGCGATTCAGCAATAAAATTGTTAGAAGAACAAAATTATGGTCAACTACAATATATGATACAGGAATTCTGTACGAAAGTCAAATTACCTTTCACTGGTGTCAAAAAAGACTATAAACTATTTGAGTTAGATCTTGAAGAAGTATGCCCAGTTCTGAAACAATACACTACTGGAGCAGCAAAAGCTAAATTAGAAAAAGATGAATGGATTATTGATCTAGATTTTGAGACCGTGAAATCATTCTTTGATCCCGTAATTGGAAAGATTATTAGATTGGTCAGTAATCAACTTAATAATGGTAATGATTGTTCAGCAATGTTTTTAGTTGGTGGATTTAGTGAATCAAAATATCTACAAAGAAGAATTAAAGATGAATTTGGGATGCAAGTTAAAAATATTAGTGTTCCTAAACAACCACAAGCTGCTATTGTTAGGTAATAATTGTTTTATTTTTCCATCGTATTTTCATATTTTGATATTTTCGATATTTTCGGAAAGATATATTAAACAATTATTATTATTATTATTATTATTATTATTATTATTATTATTTAGAGGAGGATTAGAATACGGTCTAAATATGAAAACCATCAAAACCAGAGTACTTAAATGGACTTATGGTATCGAATTATCTCCACAATGGAAACCTGGTGATCCACCAGAACGTAGAATTTCACATAACCGTATTGATATATTTAGTAAACTCGTATCTAGAGGAACTATAGTTGACGTTGATCAAGAATTTGGTAAAGATTTATACCCAAGTATAGAAGATCAAACCGCTGCATCGATGAAAATATATAAAACTCCTGAAATTGATGGTAAATATCCCAACGAACCTGGTATGGAAAAATTAGGAGAATTGATATTAGACTTTCCAGAAAGTTATTTAGGATATAACAGGAAATTAAGGTTTACTCTGACCTTTGGGCAAATGGAAATCAGAGCATATTGTACTAATCAGAATGGAAAGAGTGTTGATGCTATGTTTAACTTGGAACTATAATAACTTCATATCATTAAATTCAATATTAGATTTTTATTTTATTTTATTTATTTAACTGTATTATGAACCTTTTACATATTGTACTATTTTTTTTTTTTTTTTTTTTTACTTTCGTAATTTTGTGATTTTAATTAAATATTTTAGTGAATTATAAATTAGTATTCAAAATGCGCATAAGCATTAATTTTATAAGCATTAATTTTATTAGCATACACTTGAAAGATGCCCACATATAATATATAATAAATATATTTCGTTAACATTATAGTAAAACACATGAGAAAAGAAAAAATAATCTTCAAAAAGGTAAACGTATATATATACATAGTATTTTACAAAAAATGCTTTGGTAACTCGTAAAGAACAATTTTTTTCTTTTCATCTCGATCAACGAGATAAATATAAATGTTTACCAAAACTTTATTGACTAATAAAGTCATGCTACCAAGTATCGAAACATTTCAACTTTCAATAATATCTGATTCATTCTTGTTTCAGTTCCTGTTGGTTTGTTCTCCATTATTGTTACATTGACAATATATTTGTATTGTTTTAAACTTAGATCTATTATAAAAATTATTTTTTTTTTTAAAAAAAAAATTTTTGGAAAAGAATCGATCTGAGCACAGCATAAATATATAAAAATTACCTATCAATCTTTGTTTAATTTCTCGTGCAATCTCACAAGCCCAATTCGTAGTCTGATTTTTGTCGAATAAATTATCAGCATCCAATCGTTGATAAACCACAGAATGAAGCATTTGCTTTGCGGATGTTGGTCGTCGATATCTTTTAATTTTCGGTAATAAATTAATTAATACGATGCGATAGAGAATTTACTTTACCAAAATTTAATAGAAATAATTCTCACTTATGTTTAATAGCAAAATTTGACCGCATTAAAGAAAAATCATCAGAATCACTTCCAAAATCATTGCCAAAATCACTTTGTCTAACACCAAGTTGTAATGTATCGTCTAATAACGAATTTGTACTTTCACTCATACTTCGGTTATTCAACAAATTTAAATTATGATTCAATGAATTATTTGTAGTATCATTAAATGTTATCGTTGAGAAAGTGGTTTGTATATTCATTGTTTTGTTTTTGGTGATGTGATGTGATTAAGATATTTTTATTATTTTGAAATTGTATTTTAAGGTATTTAAGGAATATTCTCGTTATAAAAATAATAATAATTTTTTTTTTTTTTTTTTTTTTTTTTTTTTTTTTTTTTTTTTTTTTTTTTTTTTTTTTTTTTTCTTTTTTTTTTTTTTTTTTTTTTTTTTTTTTTTTTTTTTTTTTTTTTTTTTTTTTTTTTTTTTTTTT